ACACCAGTTGTAAAGAAAAAGATTACAGCAGGGTGGGTTATTAAGGGTGCTTGTTTTAATGGGCTATTATTAAATCCTTAACAGCTAATGCAATCACATCCCACTCCAGTACTGTTACTGATGTAGCTTTATCATTGCAGTACTAAAGGAAAACAATATTTAAATAGAATAATAGCCATAGTTGTGGAAGATGAATATTTGGATTGGCTTTTGTTCATTTTTATATATAACACACAGTGCCAGAAACCATATATGCAAGTCTATTTGAGATTAGTTTGTATTAATAGTGTGATGATTTTGGCAGACAGTTTACACAATCAAGAAAGTCTGTTCAGAATTTGGTTTCAGCATCACTTTTCTTTCTTATCACTGGAAGTATCACATGTTAGGGTAGTAACGATAACATTCGGTGTGAGACCTGATAGCTATAACTTTTAAGTCAGCTTTTCCCCTTAAATGTGAAGGGACCCCTTTTGCAGACGCCACCCTGACTTTCTAGGCTGAAATCCGCTTGCCTTCATTCTTCTCTATGGGGGAAATCTCACACTGAAATACTCTCGGGATATGAAGCCGCTCCAGACGTTGAAAGGTGCTGGAAGAACATCACGCAGCAGGATGAGCTGAAGTGAATGCTGCCCTCTCCTCAGTCGCCATTACTGGCGCAGAAGGAGCTGCTCCAAGAGCACTGACTCTGGAAGGCAAAGGGTTAAAGGCTCCCTCCCTCCTCCAGCTCTCCTCCACCTCCTCCAGCCAGGCAGCTGTCGCCTCTGCCTCCTCTCAGTAGCCTACACGGAGAGAGAGCAGCAACACAGCCGAGCGGATTCACAGCAAGACTTGTTGATCTTTTCTTTTCTTTCTTGCTTTTTTTCTCTCTCCGTGAAAAGAGGGGACGCGATGTAGAGAGCCGGTACGATCAGCGTCCAAATATGAGCTGGGCGGAGGGGAGAGGTCCTCCCTACAGGCTTTATTTCATACTGGCTGGTGGGCTACAGCAGTGACGTTCTCCTTTTTACCTTCTCTTGTATATGCCTGTACATCGCTCACATCAAAAGAGGCTCCAGAAATTGGGTATGTCACAACTTTACTTAATTACGAAGGATTATTATTATTATTATTATTTTTATTTTTTTATTTTTTTTTTTTATTAATATAGTAGTAACGGTTACTCCAATGACAGATCACTGGTAGCTACTTAAACCTATAGATCTTACATTGTGCTCTTGTTTATTTTCTTTTTGGTTTCTTGTGGTCTTTTTCAGGTTGTAGTAACGGTTACTCCATATGACAGATCACTATGAACCGTTTCCTAGCGGTTAATACAAAAAGACAAGTAAAACCTAATGGTCTTGTATAATGGTCTCGCATATTTACATGCGGTCACACCACATGACAGATCCCTATAAGCCCTAGCAGTTGCCTTAACGAGACAACTAACCCCAGTGGTCCTGTAGAGTGATATAATATGTTGTCTTTGTGATCTCGTATATGGTATTTTTCAGCTTTTAGTAACGGTCACACTATATGACAGATCACTATGAGCCCTAGCAACCGGTATGAAGAGACAACAAAACCTAATGGTCTTGCGGTCACATATCACTCTCGTACCGTGTTTGATATGACTTCGCTGAGCACATTTGGCTGAAATATTGCAATCGTATCCTCACGCCCCTCCTACACGTTGAATTATGTTTACTGCACCACTGACAGTTCAACACGCTTTGGGCAGACTGAGAGATGTAATCGATGCAGTTAAAAGCCCTGAATTGCTACATTCAGGTGGTCGTCGCGTGTTTTGTTGAATTCAGCCAGATTTCTCTCAATGAAACCGTACAGCTGTGGATTAACCTCCCTCATAACTCCCCAAAACAATTAGCATGAGAAGCCCATATGTCTTGTGTTCATGCTTGTTTTCTTCCCAGCGTTGTGGGCTGTGAGGAACACGTTGTCAGCTTCGCTGCAGCTGCAGTGAGCGTTAACTATTCAGCAACAATGTTAGACGCATTAGCTCCTGGTCCGTCTTGCCTTCTTCCTCAAAGCGTGCTAAAGCTGAAAAGCACCACTACTGCTGGCCACGTTTATGACCTAAATGAGACACAAAGATTCTGGCCTGAGACTAAAAAGGACAAAGTTTTTCTAACGTGTTGCACTTTACAGTTGTTATATAGAGTTACCCTGCTTTGATGATGCTCTCCTGCGTCTTTACACTGTGTCTGTTTTCAGCACCGCGTCAGTGGACAGCGCCTAACGGCCATTCATGCAGGGCTTTCATTCACATTCACTTCCCAGCAGGCCACGCAGTGACCACACATCGGCGGGAAAAGTGGCTGTGTTGTTGTTGACCTGACTGATTTATGATTTATGACATAAATATACTGTAAAAAATACTCTCATAAACACTCTTACTGTAAGGTTTGTTTACAGTAATGACTGTACTGTAGCAGTATAATACTGTAATCAGAAATATCCTATTATACACACACATATTAGAAAATGAAAGAGTTAGCATTGAAATATACGAACAATACAAAAAAGCTAACATGCTAACAGTCTCCTCTAATAATACTCACAGCTCACAGTCAGGCTTGAAGTTTAAGTATTTACTAAAATTCCCTGAAAAACTGACACATACACTGTAAAACATGTTCCATGCCTGTCTTACAAGCACTAAAATTCAGTGTTTAAGCTTGAGCTGTGTAGAATTAAGCAATGGTACACCACAGTTAGCTTAGCGCTAACATGGCACTGCAAAACTCATAGAGACTGAATCCCATGGCTAACCAAAATTATTATTGTTGTAGCAGGGGTACTCAGATACTAGTTTTGCATTAAAGTCTGCCAATACCTAAAGACATGACAAAAACCTCCATTGACAGTAACAAAGTCACTTGAACTGCACTATATAGGGCACAGAATAAAAGTTTCTCTACTCAAATAGTGCACTGCATGTTCAAAAAAAAACAAAAAAGTGTGGGGCAGCACACCACAGAGATTATACAAGAAAGTCTTTTATAAAAAGTTACAACATATGAACTTTACCTCAGCATAAACACACATACATACATTTGAAAACGTTGTTCATTTTTATTCAAATAATAAACAGGCTTTACAGGTCATTCAGTGCAGATATAGATCACGGACATGAATTTCTGGAAACCATGTTTAGATTAATCGACGCAGAGAAATCTTTTAAGCACTGGACGTTAAGCACGGTCATTTTTTATGTCTCACAATGAGGAGGTTTGGGCAGCCAAAGCTATTCCTCTTGCCGCTGTGAGTGTATAAAAACCACTTTATGAGCTTTTACACTGGAGGGTTGTTTGGTTAATGCTTCATATATTTAAAACGTGGATGCAGACTCTGGCATTTCACTGTGAATATGATTAAAAATAATGTACTCCCCTGTGATTAGCAAATATCATATCTTACACAAAAAGAAACTAAAAAATCTCTCTAAAAAGCTTGAAAACATGCCATTACTTATTGTTCATGGGTGCTGCAATGTTGACGTGATGTCACAGAATTGCAACTAGGAGAAGTCTCTGACCCTCCAAGTGGGAACTATGAATTGGGTGGCCATTCAAATGGATTTTTCCTACTTGGAAGTCGGAAACTTCCCAGTTCCCACTTAGTCATGAACACAGCATTACATGCAGATGTCTGCTTTGGCTGAATCCCTAATGGCTCTCTACTGATACAGCGCACTAAGGCAGAGGTCATCAACTCTGGATCCTGGACCTGGAATTAAGCTTCTGGACCTGGATTTTGTAATTATTTGTTTAGTGAGCTGTTGATGTAACTGATTGGCCACATATTGTCACACCTTACAGTGATTACAAAAACCAGGACTGGATTTAAAGACCCCTGACATGGGCACTAAATAAAAGCTTCTGCGTTCAAACAGTGCTCTCTATATCTCAACAGTAGGGTTGAGTTTCTCAACTCTTGTCCTAGAGATCCACTGTCTTGCACATTTTAGTGTTTTCTTTGCTTCGGTGTATCCACTTCAATTCATTAAGGGTTTGTTAATGAGCTGATAAGTTGGATTAGCTGTGCTGCAGTAGGGAAAACACTAAGACGTGCAGAGCACTGGGGGTCTAGGACCAGGGTTGAGAAACAATGCAGTACGGCACCACCTGGAATAGTTCACTGGACAGAGCATGATGTAGCCTAATGACTTCTGCACCCAAATACAGATCAATTGCAATGCGTCCATCACAAAGTATAGTATAGTGCACTATTGAACATGTGTGCATAATTTGTCTTATTTTCAGTCCAGCACATTTAAGAGCAGTGGTCCCCAACCCTGGAGATCTACCTTCCTGCAGGCTGCAGCTCCAACCCTGAGAGAACCCACCTGATCCATCTAATTACTGCCTTAGATTTAGATTTGGGTTGCAGGAAGGTGGATCTCCAGGAGCAGGGCTGGAGACCACTGTTTTAGAGTGTAGGCTACACACTTAAAATGATGGTTCTTCAAGTGTTCTTTAATAAATAAAATGGTTCTATATAGAACCATGAACACTCGAAGAACCCTTTGCATGATTCTTCAGACTGACTGAGAATGTGTTGACTATGGTTCTATATAGAACATTTTTTTAAAAGGGTTCTATACAGCACCAATTAGGTCTCTTCTAGAACAGAAGAACCCTTTTTGATGCTATAGAACAAAAAAGGTTATACAAAAAGGTTCTATATAGAACCATCTACAGCACATTCTCCATGAATCTGAAGAATCCTTTCACGATACAAAGAACCCTTTAATCATGCAAAGGGTTCTTTGGGTGTTCATGGTTCTATATGGAACCGTTTTACTAAAGAACCCTTGAAGAACCATCATTTTAAGTGTGTACACAGCCATGTGGGATTAGGCCTATGTCCCTGTGAACACTGGGTAACTAACTTCTCGCTTTCCTTGGTCAGCAGCAGCAGCAGGGATGGAAGAAGGCACGTCAGAAAGCGCGGTAACGCATCGCCGTGTGGACTAATACGCGCCGTGCAAAATGGACAAACCGTCGGGCGGGATGAGCAAGGCGGGCTCGCGCTCCACGGCCTCCCTGCCGCCGGAGCCGGCGGACATCGTGCAGAGCATGTCCTGCTACCGGCGCGTGCGCCTCAACGTCGGCGGCCTGCCGCACGAGGTGCTTTGGAGGACGCTGGACCGGCTGCCGCGCACGCGCCTGGGCAAGCTGCGCGACTGTAGGACGCACGAGGCGCTCATGGACATCTGCGACGACTACAACCTGGACGACAACGAGTACTTCTTTGACCGACATCCGGGAGCCTTCACGTCCATCCTGAACTTCTACCGCACGGGCAAGCTGCACATGATGGAGGAGATGTGCGCGCTGTCCTTCAGCCAGGAGCTGGACTACTGGGGCGTGGACGAGATCTACCTGGAGTCGTGCTGCCAGGCGCGCTACCACCAGAAGAAGGAGCAGATGAACGAGGAGCTGAAGCGCGAGGCCGACACGCTGAAGGACCGCGAGGGCGAGGAGTTCGACAACACGTGCTGCTCGGAGAAGCGCAAGAAACTGTGGGACCTGCTGGAGAAGCCGGGCTCATCTGTAGCAGCCAAGGTTAGCTGTCACACTGCGAATCTTCATCGTTCGTGAATATTGAGCGTTGCTATTCTGAGGCCCGTCTGGCGAGAGCCGACATCAGATTGTTCTCAGGGTAGAGCTGGAAGCCGCAGAGCTGAGGGAACGTGAAACCAGCACAGCCCAACACAAACACACACTCTCAGACACAAACACGAGTTTATGCCTAGTCAGGACGCAGACTCATACATACACCATAGCCCAATCCCATTTCCCATTATTTTTATCCCTACCCCTTGTTTTCGAGTGTCACCTTGCCCCTTGGAACTGAGTTACAGAGGGTAGTGGTTGAAATCTTTCCCTACGAAATGGGACCCTCATATAAAGAAGAACATTATTTCATTAACATGCTACTAGCAGTGCTCCGTAGGCGACCCTGCCAGTCTGCAGTGATAGCAGAGGAGGGTAAAGTTCAGCAACCTGGCTGCTGGACTTTAATTAAATTTAGGGCATCATATGCCTTCAAAGAGGGGGCTGAGACAATTATTCATTATCACCCTCCCCTTCAGTGATACAAAGCTGAAGTCAGCTATAGCTTTTTGCTAGAATTTTCCAGTTCCACCTTAAATGGAGCAGCAGTTACATTGAGTTACATTCCTAAATCGTCATATCCTCAAGCGTCAGAACTGCTGCATCATTTAAGGTGGAACGGGAAATTCGAGAAGCTAGTTTAGCTAGCTAGCGACTGAGACATTAGCATACTGCTAGCGACTTTTTATGCTTGTTATGAAGAAAATGACCATAAGACACTGAAACAACATTAAACTAAGATAACACGATGATTATTGTATTTTTTAATTTAGAAAATACTCACATTTGTGGGTTTTTTTGGCAGCCCTAACAGTTCACTCTACCCCTCTATCTCAACAAAAATCAGACACCCTACCCCTAGGCATGAACACAAAACGGCGGGGTAAGAGCTAAGTGGTAGGGGCGAGAGGTAAAATGGGATTGGGCCTATGTCCAAAGGTTTGTAGACACCTGCTGACCCAACATTTCTCTTGAAATCAAGGGTAGTGATAGAGAGTTTGTCCTCACTGTGCTGCAGTAACAGTCCCACTATCCATCAGTCCAGGGAACGCAGTTTCACTGCTCCACAGCCCAGTGCTGAGGGGGAGGGGGGGCTTCATATCTTAGGCATGTTGACCTTAGGCTCATGCGCAGCAGCTGCTGAGGATCTCATTCTATTGGCAGTGCTTTTATATGGTGATTATACAAACTGTGCATGCACAATTGATTTGCTGAGCAGTGGGTTCACCTTGAGCTAGCTCAGTTCCCTAATCAGAAGGTGTGTCTCTAGATAATTCTGGACATGTAGTGTAGCTACCCAAGTAAGAATTTTATATAAGAATTTTCTAAGCCAACCCTAACCTTAACCTTAGTAACAAAATGGAATTGTTTTTACCCTTTAAACAATGCAACATGGATACTTTGTTAAAAGCCCTTTACAAAGCTAAGTTATCCTGAGATTGTAGGTAGGCCTTGTTTTTTCTGCTTTTCCTACATCACAACATTTTTGTCCTGAAAATGTACGAAAACAAGCACAAACCTGTGAGCTCAAGATTTGTGTTACCTGGACCTGCGTGACTGGCTTGAATCAGTCTTTGCTCTAGTTTGTGCACTTCAGCAAAGCCTCGCTCCTGCAGTGCCTGATTGTTGTTGGAGGCTTTATGTCAATGAAGGGTGAGATGTACTTTTCTTTTCTTTCCAGACACTCACTACCAATAATGCCATTTCCCGGTACCATTAGGCCCAATTCCTTGTCAAATCATTCTCTTTGCCAAGGAAAAATCGCAACGTCCACACAACTTAAAACTGTTGGCGCATATATATCAACTAGCAATTAGCTTAAAAGGGCAATGTAAAAAAAAGTGCAATTCCAGCCACCATCTGCATTATTGCTGCTGCAGGCTAAATCACAGCAGGGTCAAGCTCTTTTGCAGCTAATTTAACACATAGTGCATCTGTTGGACATTTTAACCCATTCAATTCCCAGGCTTATTACATCCTAAGGCTTATTGTTCAGTAAGCTATATTTAAGTCATAGGAATTAGGAATGGAAATCTGGGCACTGAATGGGTTAACTGAGGGCAGTTATGAATTAGCATATTGCAGAAAGCATCCAGTCAGCTGAAGTGTGATGTGTTTGAGATGATTTGAGTGAACTGACTCTTCTGGCTAGGTGTATTTTTTCACACGTTCTAGCTCCACACCCATGCACTCGAACACACGGGCCACATGGGATCAGGAGGGACATTCTGACAACAAAACAGTTTCCTGGCAACACAGATATGAATTCATTACATTCTCAGAAATGTTGCGTTAACTAACATCACGCATCATTTTGTATTATCACTATTTATGTTCCGCCCACAAATGTATTCTTTTGTAGAATCTGTTGTAATGTTGCACAAGCTTCACAGAATGATGGTAAAAATCCCATTCATCCTAATAAGACACTGCAGTACACAACTAAGTTTGTTCAATTGGGGAAAACAGTTAAGACAGATTAAGCATAGCATTTTTGTCATATAATAATAATAATAATAATAATATAGTTAGTATAGTGGCAAATTCATTGTTGTTCCAACCTGCTTAGTTTCAATTAGCTAAAACAACATTGTCCAGCCCAGTAGCATAGCTTTTTAAAAAGGAAACTCAGCGTTATGTAGCAAGCCTGAACTCCTACCTGTATTCATTTTGATAAATATGATTGTGTCTAAAGCTTGTCCAGCCTCACAGAGCTGCAATAAAGAAAAAATACATTTGTGGGCAGAGCTTGTATAGGTCAGTTAAGTCAAATCTTTGTGTTAAAAATCTTATCACACAGGTAAAGTTATGTTCATCCAAGAGTGACTACAGTAACTCTGGTGGGGTTAATATGGCAGTGGTGGGTGTTAATTCCTAACACCAGTAGGAGTTTGGCCAATCATCCAGACAACATGAGTGTTTACTAAAGTATAATACTGTGGCTAGGTGGCTGTAGCGACAAGTGGTTCAAGCAACGTGAACATTTGTCAGTTACATTAGATTAGCCATTAAACTTACTTTACACTCTGTCTGGCAGCTCAGACATCCTTTGACAGGAGAAGGAGAAGAGAGAAGGAACAGCTCTATAACAAGCTGCTCTTTAAAGATTTCCCTTTGTGGAACTGAAATCTTTTATGAAGTCAACACTGCAGACACATTTTTTATTAGAGCTGTGCATTACAGTGATTTTACCACAATTAAGCGCAGTGTGCCACAGGCTCAACTATGAAGACTTTGGTTTGTGTCAGGCAGGGCTGTGGTGACGAACCACTGATGAAAAATCTGCCCTAAGTTTATCCAGAAGTTATTTGGATGAGATCTGGACATGAAACATGTTAATAGCCCCTTTAAAAGCAACACAATGGTCTCTATTCCACCATAAAGCCAAATGGCTCCCATGGCAGTTTGATCCAGTTCCATTCTGGTGCGGAATCACAAGACTAATCACGGTTTCTTATTCTTTTTGCTGTGCTGCTAATACAGAAGAAAAACTACACACAAAAGTGGCTCAGCAACGACCAGCAGGCTAATAGCTTGATAGCATGTTTGATTCCGACTGTCACTCCAACACCAGTCACTCGCTCTCACTCTCTTCTAAATGTGTCATTTGAGCTGGAACCAAACCTGTACTGTGGTGTGTGGCAGTTTTAGCCTGCTAACTAGAGCCCTATTTCAAATGGACTGGGTTTACATGAGGAAGTGGGGTAATGTAAATTTTACAGGCATCTTGCATTGATTTTAGTCCCATCCGAATGTACTATGTCAGTCTTTTTTACAGACTGCAAACAGTACAAATAACCTCAAATTATTAATCCCATGTGAATTGATGTGTCGGTAAAACGTTATAATATCTTGTGAAAACTGAATTTTTGAAGCATGGAGGCACTCGAAGAAGCATTTTCTTGTGTTCTCTGTGGCTAAAATCTAGCTGATATGTAACATTACTGCCCTGTCTCACATGTGCAACATGTAAAAATTACAGAAAAAAAGTTCTCGTGGGGTTGACTGTTTTATGAGGTTGACTGTTGGCTATGAATTTCCATGCTAATGTTGATGCTAGTGACACACTGCATTAAAAAAATGGTTAGAGTAAATGAAATAATGGCAAATTTAAATGTTTAACTTGTTTTCTTCTAGTAAGTAAAGGCAGTGCATAAATCAGGTACCCCGTCACTCCCGTCTCTGCCATTTATATGGAAATTTCTTATCCTGTGTGAATCGATCATAAACATTACAGACGTCCTGTGGTAAACTGGCATTACCCCACCTGATCTAACTAACTAATCCCATTAAAATAGGACTTAAAATAGCTAAGTTAACCAGTTTCTCTCTCCTAATTAGCATGCTGTTTGACATTTAGCGATTGTTGTTTAATAGTTGTACTTTTGCTGAATGATAGATTAAAGATAGACTAAAAGTTGCACAAGCTTTCAGTTCTTTGGTGACCATGTAAGCAAATGGAACTTTTTATTTGATTGCCTTCAGTTTTAAAGTAAGGCAGGATGAGGTGGCACAAGGGTGATTTGATGTGAAATGGGTCATTGTAGAGAACCTTATCAGGTTGACCAGTGAACCTACACCAGTGTTTTCTTTGGGGACTATATTGCCTTAAAACACGCTGCATGTACCTCTCTGATGTCAAGATGGCCTGTATTTTTTGTGCCAAGAAGACCAGAATGTCTACTTTTTCTGGCTTGACACTGAGCATCATGTGCCATAGTGTAATTGTGGTTGTGCTCTCATGTACGCATCGTGGATGTTTGGTTGCTTCTGATTTGTCTAACTAATCTACAGGCAGTTTACAAACTTCTCAGGTTAAATTTCCCCATATCTAGCCTATAATAAAAACTGCAGCTCTTGCGATTTGAGAATTGCACTCTTTATTGCGATGTCGATATAAACACGATTGATCTTTCAGCCCTAGTACACACATACTTATGGTGTTTCAC